CCGAGGAGGAGCAGCGCGCGGTGCTGTACGAGCACGTGGAGGCGGAGGAGCAGCTTCTGCGCCAGCGCCTGCATCAGCGGGAGGCGGAGGCGGAGGCGGAGCAGCAGCGCGAGAGGGACCGGCTCTACGAGGAGCTGACGGCGGGGACTCTGGCGCTGGAGGAGCGCATGCGTCGCCGTGAGGAGGCGGAGCGCTCTGCACGACAGTACGAGGACAAGAAGAAGGAGGAGCAGCTACACCTTCTGCGCGAGCTGGAGGAGAATCAGCAACGCCTGCTCCAACAGCAACAACAGCAGCGCCATCTTCAAGAACAACAACTACGGTGTCTCCAGGAGGAAAGAGAGCAGCAACAGAGGCGGCAGCAGCAGCAGCAGCAGCAGCAGCAACGTGCCTTGGAGGAGCAACGTATGCAACAAATACTTCTGAACCAGATACAGCAGCCACAACCACCGTCCCCCGCCGCACCCTACTATCAAGATCCCACTATGATACCCACACCATCATTTCCTGCAGCTTTTTGGCAAGGTTCTGGCTCCCCACCCTACTGCCAACAAACGTTTTCTGGCCTCCCTTTCCAACAACAACAACAACAACAGCGACAACCATANCAACAACAACAACATGTGCTGCAACAGCAATTGCAACAGATACGGTTTCCTGGTCACGTACCGTATTTTCCGCCCCAGTAAGTGTCTCTTTAGGCTGCGGAACAAAAAAAAAGGGTATCAGGGGACAGACAGTGTGTTCCAGGGTGTGTTATTTTGTGGATTGCTCCTTTTTTTGTTGTTGTTTTACGCCGCAAAGATGCTCTTTTCTCTTTATGACTATGACGGGAAAGACTCCACAGAAACGCGTCGCAAGTGGCGGGCGAACGAACAAACAAACGGCATTGACAGGGTAGCGTCAACAGATCGTTGTTTCTGTATCTTGGAACTTGCAACCCGCAGGCGATATAGCCTGCACACACTTCACAAGGCAGCACGAGGGGGTTCTACTTCTTGATCGTGATGCGGCGACTACGCCGAGCGAAGGTGTGCCATGTGCCCAAGTTCGCTGTGATCATTGTGGCGGTATGGGCCGTGCTCGCGCTGGCGATGACGTACCGCGGCTGGGTCAATAACACGTCAGGCGCTGCGGTGCCGCTGCCAGACGTGTTTTCCGCTGTCGGTGCGGCGCGCGTGCGTCTGCTGCAACGACCGGACGTGATGGTCGACCTCCGCGCTGCGCGGGAGTATGACACATCGCTGTGCCCCGTCGAGCCAGCGGGACGCGAGCAGCCGCAGCTGCTGGAGTTCCTTCGCTTCTTCACGCGCGTATTCCGCGAGACGTACAACAACTTGCCGTGGTGGATGGATGAGGGGAGCCTCATCGGCATCGGACGTGCCGGCGCCGTCTCGAACGCCGACGACGACTTCGACTTCTTTGTGCTGCTGCCGAACACGACGTCGCCGTGCAGGCCGGGGTCCCTCGAGTGCACGCCGGCGGAGTTCAACGCCCTCATTCATCGCTTCCTCCTCCCGCTGTGGAAGGCTGGCGCGTGCATCCACTGGTTTCACCCCGACCCCAGCAAGTACGACGCAAAGATGCGGCTGATGTATTCGCTGCAGCTCCACCGGCGCGACGACTTGAAGAATCCGCTGGATTGTTTTGACAGGAAAGCACCGTTGGCACACATGCACCTTGGCATGCTCAACGCGGACGGCGAGCTGGAGACGAATAAGTGGGTGGGGCCTCGCAGCCACCCAAGGGACAAGCTGCCGCTAAATGTGATTCTTCCTGTGCAACGCTGCCGCATGGGGACCAGTGACGCTCCGTGTCCAAACGACATTGTCAGTTACCTGAAAATGCGCAACGAAGAAGAGTACGTGCGCCGCTCTAGTGAAGGCCGCTGCCTGTTGGTGAAGAAAAGGTGGAGTATTGAGCGTAAGCAGAACCAAGTGAAGAGTGTTCGACTGCTTCATGACTGTGGGTACAACAGTATGATTCAGCTGGTGAAGCCGTTGATAGACTCGGGTTATGCCACCTGTTGACGACAAAGCCTTTCCAATGTGCGTGATACTCATATACATGTGGTAGTGAAGGAGGGAAACGATGATGAAAGGTTGACACAGATCTACGCACATGGTACGCCACTCTTTTTATTGTTGTTTTGGTTCCTCATTTAGCTATTTTTCTTTCTTTCCTTCTTGGCATGCCAGCTCTCACGAAACTCAGTGAGTTTTTAGTAGGTTGTGAAGTTTGCCTCCGGCGCTTCACAAGAGACAAGTAAGTAAGAGGGTAAGTGTTTTCTTGCTGTTCCCGTCGTTTTTTTCTGCTACTGCTTCTGGTGCTGCTGCTGCTGCTGCCGCCCATGGCAACGAGCCCCCAACCACCTTGCATCCCGCTAAAGGATGATTCGGGCGGTAAGACATATCGTGATCCGTATGATGCGAGTGACGTTACTGCCCCGCTGCCGCCACCTCCACTACCGCCATCGCCTGGGCGTGGTAGTGTCAGTTTCCCCGCGTTGCCGCCGCTCGTGAACCGCCAGATGTCGACGGCCGGCGGAAGCCTCCGGGAGATGGAGGAGTCGCCCTTCTCGCGGCAGAGCAGCGCAAGTCGTGTGACGAGCATACGGCACATCACACCCTTCAAGGAGGAGGTCAGTGCGCGCGGCACGGGGCCGCAGATAACAATCAGGACGGGACCCTCCACCGCGCGCAGCAGCAGCCCGACCGTCACGTCGCCGGGCTCGGGTCGGTTGCCGGTTGGCGTTGCGTACAGCAGTCCTGTTTCTGCGGACGAGTTGTTGGGTTACTGGCACCCACGCTCGCTGCGGTTTCAGCGCGGCAAAGTCGTTGGCTCGGGCGGCTTCGGCACGGTATATCAAGCCATCCTTTCCGACGGATCGCTCGCCGCGGTGAAGGAGATGAAGCTTGAGACCGGCGCCAAGGCAATTGACCGGGAGGTGCGGGCACTGAGTAGTCTCCCACCATACCAGCATTGTGTACGCTACTTAGGTTCACGGCACAGCAGTAATCACTACTACATTATCATGGAGTATATCAGTGGTGGGAGCATTCAGTCCCTCCGCGCATCCGTTGGGCGATTTAATGAGGCTGTGATGCAGCGGTATGCCAAGATGGTGCTGATGGGGCTGCAGCACCTCCACAAACACGGCATTATTCACCGTGACATTAAGGGAGCCAACGTTCTTCTGGACGAAAGAGGATCTGTCAAGATTGTCGATTTTGGGTGCTGCAAGATCCTGAGCCAGCCGAACAGCACACTGGGCTGCGGCGGAACACCGCTGTGGATGGCGCCGGAGGTGTGCCGTGGGGAGCCCGCCACCGCCAAGTCGGACGTGTGGGGAGTCGGCTGCCTCTGCTTAGAGATGACGAACGACACTGGCGTGCCGTGGGGATTCCCTGCCAGCATGAACGTGCAGGGCATCGCGTACGCCATTGCGAGCGCCAAACACGCCCCCCCAATACCAAAGAAATTGTCGCCGCTCGCGCAGAATTTTATCCGCTGCTGTCTGCAGATCGATGTGGATGACCGCCTCTCAGTAGATGAGTTGCTCGAGCATCAGTTCTTCCTGCAGGACTTTACGGGGATCGACTCCGCGGACGACGATGTGATCGTATCTCGGGAGGAGAGTATCGATCTTTACTCATCGCATTCCAAGATTCGCCTGGGGCGCGCAAACAATCTTGACAAGAGTGATAACAACAATAACAACGTGAAGGTCATCGTCTCGGGCACGACATCGGCAAGCTCTTCAAGGGTTAACAACAACAGGAGATTGCAGCTCATCCAGCATGATGGCTTTCGACTTGAGGCTGCCAGCGAGGATGATGATGATGATGATGATGATGACGAAGACGACGACGATATCAAGGACGAGGGCATCACGAACGGTGCCGCGAGCCATGGAACCCTTCAGTGGATGCAGAGCATTGACGAATTCCACGAGGATGAGGTCATCATTGGCGACCACGGTCTGAGCACAGCTGACGTCGCAATGCACTCTTCAAACGTAGACAGTAGTCGGCCGGTGCGGTACCAACTCACCCCACCGCTGCAAGTACATCTGCAACGGCAAAAAGCACAGGAAGAACAACCGCAACAAGAAAAAAGCAAACCACAACAGAAATTCGTACGCCATTTAGACTCAGTCGTCACGACGCCTCTAGCAACGGCCGCGCTTGCCCAACCCTCACCGGTGTCGACACGGGGATCCATCGACAACCACAGCCACTTGGCACTAGGAACTCCGCCTCCGCGTCCACCCGTACCAGCAGTGGACCCCATCGTGTGGGAGAGCCGCGGTGCGGACAGCGTATGCGGCGTGGATCAGGTGAACAAGACAGACGAGTTGCGCAGAGGCCAAGCCCCCCCCGCACGTCGCATGCGTCAGAGCAAAGCAGAAGGGGGCAATGTGCTGAAATGGTTCTCCAAGTGAGTGGGAGAGGCCCCTCCCCCCACAGGCCCGGCAACACGTACGCCCAATCGTGTGATATCTACTCTTTGTTTCTTGCTGCCGTATCACGGTGTGTGTTGCTCTCCCAAGGTGTGAGGTGGCTAATGCATCGCGATAAAAACAAGAAAAAAAGAGGCTACACCCTGCGCTTACGGCGGTGTGCTACCCCAATCCTCGTATCTTATCTTCTTGTTTCCCGTTTTCACAATATCCTACTTTGCTTCTCTTTCCCCGTTATGTTTATTTTACTTTCTATCCCTGTGTGCGTGCGTGTCTATGTGCACTTGACGCAAAACAAACGAATAGGCTTCATTGTGAAATACAGCCATGCCATCCGTCACCCAGGCCAAGCAGGACTACGAGGAGCGCCTCAACTCCTGCCTCACCAAGTACAGCCGTGTGCTCTTCTGCCTCATGGACAACGTCCGGTCGCAGCAGGTGCACGACGTCCGCCGCGACCTCCGCGGCAAGGGCGAGCTTGTGATGGGCAAGAAGACGCTTCAGAAGAAGATTGTTGAGCGACGTGCGGAAGGCAAGAAGGCGACGCCGATTGACAAGCTCTTCCACGAGAAGTGCACCGAGCTGAGCCTGCTCTGCGGCAACACCTCCCTGATCTTCACGAACGAGGAGATCCCGGTGATCACAAGCGTGCTGGACAAGCACCGTGTGCAGGCCCCTGCGCGCGTGGGCGCCATTGCCCCGTGCGACGTCATCGTCCCTGCCGGTAACACTGGTATGGAGCCCAAGGCGACGTCCTTCTTCCAGGCGCTCAACATCGCGACGAAGATTGCCAAGGGTACTGTTGAGATCGTGAGTGACAAGAAGGTCCTGAGCACTGGCGACAAGGTCGACAACTCGACGGCCACGCTGCTGCAGAAGCTGGACATCTCCCCGTTCTACTACCAGGTGGAGGTGCAGTCCGTGTGGGACCGTGGTGTGCTGTTCCTCCGCGAGGACCTCTCCATCACCGACGACATCGTGGAGAAGTACATGCTCGAGGGCATCAGCAACGTTGCCGCGATGTCTCTCGGCGCGGGTATCCCGACGGCCGCCACGCTGCCGCACATGATTATGGATGCATTCAAGACGCTCCTCGGCGCCTCTATTGCCACCAACTACGAGTTCGAAGAGTACGACGGCAAGAACCTGCGCCAGGCTGCGCTGGACGGCAACCTTGGTGGTGGCGCCGCTGCTGCTGCTGACACTGGTGCTGCCGCCGCCGCCCCCGCTGCTGCTGCTGCCGCCGCTGAGCCGGAGGAGGAGGAGGACGACGATGACTTCGGCATGGGTGCGCTCTTCTAAATTAGACAATTGAAGCCGGCGCTGTTGTTTCTTATTTTTATTTACTGCGACTCCCTTTTTGTCCTGCATCTCAACTCTTGAGTTTGCCGATGCGTGGAGTTGATGTAATGTCTGGGTGTTCTCTTTCTATTATTTCTCTTCGTTCTTCATTTGTTTTCTTCTCTGCGTGCCCAATAATCTTACTTACACACACCCTGTCAGAAACCGGGCATCAAGAGCTACTTACCATGCCATCCGTCACCCAGGCCAAGCAGGACTACGAGGAGCGCCTCAACTCCTGCCTCACCAAGTACAGCCGTGTGCTCTTCT